TGACCGTATGCCATGTTTCTTCAGGTTATGGCTCGCCAAGAGAAACTCAGATATCGAAGGGAACAAGGGTACACATCTGTCAGTAATGATCTACACTACTAGAGAATGGTTATATCAATTGCAGCATAGCAGTAACACTGGAGCTCGATGTGTAGGAAGAGGCTTTATCCTTAACCAATGCACAATTAGCGCATATCTCTTCCAACACCGGGTTTTAAACGTATGCCATCGTTACCTTGCACCATGATTCATAAGGGACTAATTAAGGTAACGCTTTCTTCAATAAACCCATGAAGCTATAGCAACATTATGCGCGATTTCACTGGCTATATAAACGCATTTTCTCTCGTTATGTACTCAAAGGTACCAATATATTAACATTCCTTATACAACAACAATGCGGTGCATATATTTTCAGTTTTTGTTTCTTATTAATGTAAGAGTTTAATTACATTTTTCCAAGAATCCACATGTGGTAAGCAGTGAGCGGCGGATAATCCAAACCCCAGTAGAGAAGATCGTTATTGGTTCCATTTCGGTACCTTAAACATTATCAATAGCATCATTTGACTTTAAAATTGAACATTATTTATTTATGAAAGACAATCTCCCATTTATGCGGAGCAATTTCGTAAGAAAAATGAAGACCGTGAAATCAATAACATTATCAGTGATAAGACAATTTGCAAGATAGGCGCAATCAACACTAAGTTTACGATGATGGTTTCAAACTTGCTGCAGGTAGTAGCTATACAACCGCCTTATCTCACCTATAGAAAATACTTTCCAAACTGCTTCAAAGCGATCATGCCAGCCTCGCGAATTTTTAACAGATTTTTTGACTATTGCTCGTTCGACCGAAAGTCATCTACCGATATGCCTATCACCATAGATGTCCTTTCAAATTATTCATTCATAATCTTTGGCTGCAGACGTCCCTTTGGCTGCGGACCACTATACCAACTGCGCCGTGTATAACGAAACCGTATTTATATATTTTTAAGTTTCTAGTATGAACAACAACGAATGAACAAATTCCCGAATCTTCGAACCATTCAATCCTTAGTATAACTGTACAATTTAAAGCTTTCTCATATGCGCTCCTGCTATGTGGGGTTCTGTCAAAAGCAAAAAACATAAATGCTATCGTCCGCAAACTAAAGACGAAATTGCGATTTGGCCTTTGATTCAAAAGCCGCCAATTCAGTTTCATCATAATTTTCTTCATCCTTCATGTAAGCTTCTCCTATCGGGTAGCGTAGGCAGATGCGTCAGACAGAGCTTCCAACGTTCCCGATCTGGGGCCAGAGTCTGAGTATTGAGAAAACACAATTGGAGTCTGGAACAGACTTTTTCCATATATTTGCACCAGGATAATCTTGGCCGTCCCCCGGGCCTTCTGCCTGTCGGATTTGCAAGGAACAGTTGCTTAGTCTTCCTTTCTGGAGCATTCGCAACACATGTTCCAAATCATCGCAGTTGTGACTTCTCAATCTGGAAAAGCAGAGGCAGTTAACCAAAGCTCTCCCGGATGTCAGTATTCCGGACCATGTCGAGACGCGT